CTACATCCGACCCTATTTTGTTCACCTCTCACATTTTCTCACCTTTCTTTTGAATTGCAAACCACCTTACTAAAGCATTCCCACATATTTGATCAACCTCATGGCTTACCCCTAATGCATTCTTATGATCACCACATAACCTTTTTTCCCAACTCCACCCCAATTTGTGTCAAACCCTATCATTATCTACATGCCTAAAAAGACACTATCTTCACCATTGTTTCAAAGTTGTTGGCATAAGGCCTCATAGTCCCAAGTCATAGCCCATTTTCCTCTTTTGTTCTATTGGTGCACAAAAAGGATAATACTTGGCATTTTGTGTGAACTTTTTTAGCTCTCAATGTTATCACTATTAAGGATTGTTTTCCCATCTCCACCATTGATGAATTATTGGACAAACTAGGTTTTGCTACTATTTTCTCTTAGATTGATTTACATTTGGGGTATCACTAAATCAAGGTGCACCTTGATGATACTCACAAAACTATTTTCCGCACTTTTAATGGTCACTGCAAGTTCTTAGTCATGCCATTTGGGCTCACTGATGCCTTGACTACCTTTTAGGTTACCAAGAACAATCTTTTACACCCTCACTTATGCAAGTTTGTGTTGGTGTTTTTTGATGATATCCTTGTTTACAATTCTAAATAAATGTTGATCATCTTGTTCATGTTTATTTGATTTTACAAGTATTAGTTGAGCATTCATTTTTTGTTGATTTCTCTATGTGTTCCATTATGGTGCCCTCTATTCATTATTTGGGGCATGTCATTTCAACCTAGGGAGTCCAACCTAACCCAAAGAAGAACCTAGATGTCCTAAATTGGGCCCCTTCACATAACCTCACTACCTTTGAGGCTTTCTTTGCCTTGCAAGGCTTTATAGGCATTTAATTTCCACTATGTGGCTTTGGCCGCTCCTCTCATGAATCTTTTATGTACAGGTCAATCCTATCAATGGACACATATAGAGCAATTAGCATTTACCAAATCACAAGAAGCCCTAACTATTGTTATAGTGTTGTTATTGCCCGACTTCCAACTCTTTTTTGATATTGAAACCGATGCCTTTACTTCAGTCGTGGCTATTGTTCTCCTCCAACAAGGCCATCATATTGCATACTTCATTAAGAAGATGTGTCCTAAACTACAAGCTTTTTTGCATATATTAAGGAAATGAATCACAAAGTTAAAAAAAAAATGGAGATGATATCTAATTGACAATCATTTTAGAATTTTCACAAACCAACAGTTTAAAACATGTGTGAAAAAAAAAAAGACACTATAAGGAAGGTTGAATAATATCAATAAAAAATTCACTTTTTAAAATAGCGAAGTAGTAGCAAGACCTTACAAGTGCAAATAAAGAGTTAAGTAAAAAGAATATACAGTGTTTTTATATTAGTTCATTTCAATCATCGAAACTATATCCAATTCTTAATCAACCCAATCAAGTTTCACTATCTTTGCGAAGATACAAGTATTCTTTCACAAGCTACTTTTAGCCCAACCCTAGTGTACAAAAATCTTTTTCTTCGATATTCACACTTCAAAAGGAACAAAAGTCATGTTTTGCGTCAGAAAAGGACCAGTATATATCCCTTGAAGTACATGAAATCTCAAAAAAAATTTGCTTCATAGTTCCTCTCTTTTGGTACCTAAAAGATGATAAGTAACTTCCTTATTCAGATAACAAGTAACAATTTGGTAAAGTGCATTTAATGTCTGTATTTATTGAACCAACTGACACTTCTCATAAGAAATGAAAGATGAAGAAAGACAAAACAACTCTATGAAAGAAGTTCAAAGATTTGTAATGGTCATCTTCATGAAGTACCTATATACAAAAGTTTGAAGATTCATGAAATGAAAACACACACACGCACAAAGAGACTTAAATGAACACTATTACATATTTAATTATATAAAAAGTCTTGTACTTCATTGGCCACTCCGATGTTAAAGCCACCCTAGCTTGTCTTACAACAGATTTTTCTTCGCCTGGTATGGCCAAGGATGTCAAATAGGTCATTCGTTCGTGTTCTACCTATCAACACAACAAATATTTGGCATAAAAAAACTAGGTTTGTTACAACTACTTTCGATTCCACATAAGGTCTCGGATGATATCAGTATGAATTTTCTAACCTATTTACCTATCTTTTTCGATCACACCGTTATCTGGGTGGTTGTGGATCAATTGTCCAAGTACACTCATTTCATCGCCTTACCCAAGATCTTTTCTATGGCCGCTTTAGCTTCTCGCTTCATGATTAAGATTAATTGTTCGCCTTCATGGTCTTCCCACGCAATTGTGCCAAACTGTGACCATCTATTTCTTAGCTCTTTTTGGCATGAGCTCTTCCACCTCCAAGGCACACAACTTCGTTTCTCCATTGTGTATCACCCCAAAATTGATGGCGCGCCAAACACAGGTGGTGAACCGCGTTTTAGCCGCCTACCTCCGTTGTTTTGCTGGGGACTTTCCCCATCGATGATATCATTTTTAACACTTGGCTGAGTTATAGTATAATACCACCCATCACTCCACCCTTGGCATGACTCCATCTCAAGCCTTAGATGGTCACACTTCTCCCATCATTCCTAATTTTGCCACGATGCCATCACAAAGACACCATGCATGTGGTAAAGGGAAATCTCCGCAATGTCTGCCAGCGCATGGCAGCTCAAGCAAACAAATCTAGGCAAGACATTACCTTTAACCCTAGTGATTGGGTTGTATTGTGGCTTCAACCTTACCATCAGCAGCCCCTCAGACGTTCTCCATTACCAAAACTATGACACCACTTCCATGGACCCTTTCAGGTTCTTCAATGCATCAAGTTAGTGACCTATGAACTCGCCTTGCCTCCTTCTTCAGTCTTCCATCACGTTTTTCATGTCTCCCTCCTTTGTCGCTACCACGGCGCCTCTCCCCTCACTATTACCATTTTTTAAACCTTCACGCATTTCACCATGGAAGCCTTTTTAGAACTTCCTCCCTCCACTTCCCAAGATCTATGTTGGGATACAAACAAGTCTCACATCGATAAAATAAAAGAAAATATAAAGCACACACATACTCCAATGTTAGAGAGGTCTTTTGGGTGATGACCAAAAACAAAACCGTGAGGGCTTAGGCTCAAAGCAGACAATATTTCATCATTGTGGAGTTGTGTGTAATAACCTTATAAAAATAACTCTCATAAAATATTCTCTCAGACAAATACCATAAAATAACTTCAATAGTGGTATCAGAGCTAAGGTTACGACCTGTGGAGATGAAAGCAGAAACAAACTTTTCACAAATTTCCTCACCTATTTTTGATGGAGAAAGTTACGATCTTTGAGCGGTGAGAATGGAGGCATACCTAGAAGCTTTAGATCTCTGAAAAGCCGTAGAAGAAGATTATGATGTTTTCACGTTGCCAAACAATCCTACCGAAGCCCAAATGAAAATTCACAAGGAAAAGAAAATCAAGAAGGCAAAGGCAAAAAGTTGTCTCTTTACTTGTGTTTCACAAAATGTTTTCACTAGGATCATGACTCTCAAATCGGCAAAAGTAAAATCGTGAGAGCTTAGGCCCAAAACGGACAATATCTCATCATTGTAGAATATGCTGGTGTAATAACCTTATAAAAATAACACTCATAAAATATTCCCTCAAACAAATACCATAAAATAACCTCAACAGTGATATCAAAGCCGCAAGGTTGGATGCGGTAACAACCCTCATAACCCCTCATAACTGATAATGTGATATATAAAGACAAATTTCGCTGTATTGAAAGGTTAGGTCCCTTGTTTGAGGGGAGGATTGTTGGGATACAAACAAGTACCACATCGATAAAATAAGAGAAAAAATAACTTATAAAGCACACACATACTCCAATGTTAGAGAGACCTTTTGGGTGATGACCAAAAGCAAAACCGTAAAAGCTTAAGCCCAAAGCGGACAATATCTCGTCATTGTGAAATTGTGTGTAATAACCTTATAAAAATAACTCTCATAAAATATCCCCTCAAATAAATACCATAAAATAACTTCAACAATCTACCAGCCTTGCCTCCAACTGGCACCAATTCTCTGCATGTTCCGTGTGCTACCCTCCCCAGTTTCATTTGGACCACTCAATGAAAACACAAATGCCACCTCATCTTCCACTAATGAATTGGAGGGCAAAGTCAATTGTCATGGGTCGAGTAATGATACAAGCCCATATTTGGAGGAGTTGCCCACTCGCAATAGACGCCCTCCCTCTTGGTTTAAGGATAACATACCTTGAGAATTGTTAGGCCAAAATCCCAATTTGACCTTGATGATTTTTTTAGTTATTTTCTTTGTAATTCCATGCAAACCTCCGTACTAGTAGGCTCACTGTGCATTAGGTTTTTTAGGATTCATAGGTATATATTGTCCTTATATAGAACTTTATGGAGGTAATGAACGATCACAGTTTTCTTCATCGATATAATTTTCTATCTCCTTAGATTAATAATAGTTTGGCCTTTATCACATTTCTAGAGTTTGCCGAAACCAGAACTGCTACCATCACCCGTTGATCATTATTTTAGTCCAAATCTACGGTCAAAAACAATGGGAGCACGGATGCTCCACAATCCAGAAATAATGGCCTAACTGTCGGCATGGAAGCTTGACCATAGGGATGATCCACCATCAGACATTCCTTCCCTCACAAAAGACCCTTTGCCCAAAGAACAAATGTTACAATATTTTTTTAACACTTCTGTCACCTCAAATCTAATAGATCTCAATAATTTTCAATCAATAATATATATATATATTAAAAAAAATGCTTCAAAGAATATTACTAACATTTGTCTTGCCGAAGAAGTAATTATTTTATCTAGGTGCACCAATGGTATGACTCATGCACTAAACTCTGAAGTATGTACACTTATTTCAGAAGACACCCACCTTAATTTTTACCCCCAAACCCTTCAACACTGTTAGCTGTTGCCTGAAATTGCACCCAGCATAGAATTAATAAAGTACAAGCCTTTTTTATATAATATATATAGGTAACTACCGAACACTTGCAATTGTCCTATTAATATCCATAGCTTATACACAGCATTGTTTTCAAAATCTAGAGCACGCATCTAAAATGAGAGGATGCATGGCAAGCTCAAGTTATTAAAAACAAATGTGTTCAAGCTTATCACGATTCATCCATAATCCCAGGAAGGCGTGATCATGAACTGGAAAAAAGCTGGAAGCAAATAACTCAAAAACACTCTTTACAAAATGTTTTCTTATCAAGAGAGATTACAACCTCACTCCAATCTAAAAAGACCCAACAATTTCCTCAAATACATTACATTTGTTAGTGACCACTCATTCGTGGGCACGCTTCGTTACCGTTTCCCTCTAAGAACCACTCGATGGCCTGAATACATAACCATTGACACCACATCCCATATTTGAGTAATCTGGATAGTATGCATAACTATCATTCTCTGTGTTTCTCATGCCTAGGTACAAAAGATCGGAACCAGCCACCTGCCATTGGTTTGGAATCAACCCATCTACCTGCCCATTGACACAAGGCACACTACTCATCGGTGGAACATAATCCCTCGGTGGATCATAATGCACACCAGACAAGCTATAGCCTCCTGAGAATCTATGGTCACTATGATAACTTCGTGATCTCTCAAACCTGCAAGAACTGGTTGAAGATCCCAAATCACCATTTGCACCAAAGTCCCCAGGACAAGTGAACTGTCGACTCAGTAACTGTGAGCCGTTATTAAGAGACTGGAATGCTGAACTTGCCTTGGCCGTCTTCCCAATACCATGTTCGTCATCAAGCAGGTCATTTATGATATCAAGGTGTGGGAACTCATCCACCAACCCTTGGTTCTGACGCCCAGATGTGCAGGCAGAGAACTCAGTTGACAATGACATGTTGCCCATAGATCTACTGTGTACTGGCCTGTACAAGTCATGATTTTGAACATCATTAAGCACAGAGGGATGATCATAGTGCATGTTTCTGCTTGATTCCCTTTGAGGACTCTCAATCCACTGGGGACCATTCTGTAAAACATCCCGGGTAATCAAGTTAAAAGGAACACCAGCCTGACCAGCAGTAGTGTCCAATCTGTCAGAGCTCTGGGATAAAAATAATGGTGATGACACCAAGGAAGATGGTTGAGAATAGCCAGGTGATGGGTTTACTGCCGAACTTGAGGAGCTGGAATGGGTCAGACTAGCAGTAGCTGAGACCACAGGGTTCCCCATTATTGCATTTCTGTAGGACTGAGGAGCATGACTATGAATAGCAGGTGAGGGATCAGGACCCAACCGGCCAGTTGCACTAACTGAGCGTGCAAGTAAGGGAGTCGCTTGAACCATAGAGACAACAGGAGCAGTTGGCCTGGGGCCAGGAACTAAAGGAGCACTTGAAGGTCTTGACATCATAGGCACTTGAGTCACAGATCTTTCAGTTAATCGCGCAGATGAAGTCTTTTGGATCTGAGTTTTGGACACAGCTGATACAGCTGGAACTGGTGATGCAGAAGTAAAAGGTGAAGATGGATCTTTATCAGTCTGTTGGGAGCCGCTTGAAGATGTTTTCCTGACATGAGCAGGATCTACACTAGGGTTAATCTTGTGTTCCAACTTCATTTGAACAGAGGAGGATAAGTTTCTAGGAGGACTAATAGGTGAGGATGGCACATCTGATATCTTCTCTTTCTGTAGGCTTTGATTCGGTCTCTCTGTCTCAACTAGGTCTTTAATGCCCGGTTTCTTATGTGAAAGAACCTCCTCTTCCTATCAAATTAGAAAAGCAAAAGCCTGAGAACTGTAAAAGCAATTCATCAAATCAAAAATAAATTCCATTGTCAATCCAAATCTGATCACACACCACCTTCAAGAGGGATAAAACCCAAATTCTTTTGCTTCAAATCAATAAACAGAAAACAAAGATTACCAAGGTCAAAAACAACACATAAGAAGAGAACAAGGGGATATAGACATCTTCGTTCCAGCTAAATCATGAAAATAAACATTCACGTAGACTTCAATGGTTTGATAGCATGTAAGAAATGAGAAGCAGAGGCAGGAAAAACTATGATTATGGATTCATTTTGTTTTTCACATCTATACAGCCACGAGGACAGAAGACTGGAAGAATTTAAAAATAAAATCATCCTTCCATACCAGGTGATGGAAACAAGATGAAATGGATACACATCTTTTTTTCCCATGATTAATCTGTAAACAAGATAGGTATATAGAAACATCACCAATTTGTTCTAAGAGTTGCAAATTCAAATTATTTTCATCTATTTGCAGATGGAAATAACTAAGGGAAAGCAAGGTGTTCAGTCATCTCTCCACTTTTAAGACCCTTATTTTATATATCTTTTGAAACTATTCTTAATGAGCAAACTATTCTTGTTCCTCTTCATTGGTAAAAAATAAAAAGGTAAAAATTATTCAAGAATCATAGATGATAAAGAAACACTCAAATTTAATAAAGGGGGAATAAAATAGACAAAATGGAGAGACATAATCACAGAAAGTCATGAATAGATAAGCTTTAGAGAACTTATGATAATTTGATAAGTATTTCTGAAAAGGGTGGAAATGAGACAACCTTTCTGATAACATGCTGCTCGGCCCACTTCAACCGATCCTGCAAGGAGAGAACAGCAACCTCAGACTCAGATTCGCCAGTCTTACCACTTCCAGACTCGTCAGTAATATCCCCAGCATCTGCTGCAGAACCAGAAGGTTGACTATCTATTCCATTCGTCCAACTACCATCAGATGGTGTTTTGCCTCGATTCTTACCTCTGCAGATAATAAGTGTTGTACCATATCTCATTAGCACAAGCCATCATTAAAATCCATCCACACACAAAAAGAAATACTCACCTGCTAGGCGACTTTTGGACTTTACAATTTGAAAAAGAGTTTCCCTTGTGGGGATCAATCATAACTACTGATGGAAGAGAATCAGTAGAACATGTTGAAGAACTATCATCTATGATGGAACTGCTTCTTTTCTCAGAAATTCCATTTTGTATGAAAGAAATACCACCTATGCTATTGTTTCTAGCCTTAGTTGGAGGGTGTACTTCTGATGCATCAGTATCCCAATTAACAGGACTAACATCTCTGTCTTCTGAATCAGGCTGAAGTGTTTCAGCAACTCCATCCACAGAGTCAGACACATCAGAAACATCTTCCATGGCATCAGGCTTTTCAGACAGAGCCTGAGCTTCCTCCATGTTAGAATCATTTTTCTCATCAACAGCATTGTCTTGGTTCTTTTCAGGTACAGACACAGTAGTCTTATCATCCCTCCCTTTATCCTTTCCTTTCCGGTTGTTACGTTTTTGTTTGGCCTGTAGTGAAAAGAAAGGAATATCTGTCAACAATTATAAACAAAATCAGCCAACAACTTACCCCATGCACATGACGTCATTTAATCCCAAAAATAGACTGCACATGTCAAGAGAAAACATCTGGGAATATTCCAAGAGTGCTGAATGAATGGATAAGACTGACTAAATTTACCAGAAAGTTTGTTAGTTGTTCATAAACTTGAACATTTTGTCAGAAACTTCAAAATTATGATTATCAGGAACATGATAGAGGACAAAATATGCCCATCAGCAGTTTTTTTATAATTTCTTTGTTATTTATCTGTTCATCAGGACAGTTGTTTATCAAGTTTCTACCATTAGATGACTTCATGAATACTATCAATACTTCGTTAAAAAAAGTAAGGCCTTGATGGCATTTACCAACTCTACCTACTTGACAATGAACAGTTCACTATCACAATACAGTTGACATCTATGATGCATACTCCGTAGTTTATTATCGTCTGTACAGAAATTTATGAGAATGATTTAAGCTTGCCTCTTTATTGACTTCTAAAACACAATATTAACATCGCAGAACTGCATTTCAAATTGTGACAGATAATCAATTTATCAAATAAGAACCTAATTTGCTAACAAGAGTCAGATAATGAAAATAGCATCTGTGAAATAAATATTCAGATATCTAAAAAAACCCTTGACAATGCCGTTTCAATGGGTTCCAGACCTGTTTTTTCTTTGACTTCTTTTCCCTCTCACTGACTCCACGTTTTGCTTTTTGATCACTTTCAGCTTGCCATGCAGCCTCTTCTTCACGGATGAGTTCTTCTTGTCTTTTGAGAGCAACAGCTTCCTGGTAGGCAACCTCAATTTTATTACTGCACCCATTAAATTAAATAATTAGGATATCCATATTGATGCATATCTAATACCTACATGCAAAACAAAACTATGCCTCTCCTTAACATCCAGGTAGGTTACATATATTGGCCTTACAATTAGGAACCTCTCAATCTTTCCATATTTCAAATAATTTCCTATTCTCCGTTGGCAATATCACAAACTATTTCAGCCTCTATGCAGCTTCTGCTATGAAACATGAACACTGAATTCATTGCAAAACAATTGTGTATATTACCTGAATATATGGGCAAGGACAAATATTTCCAAAGTCCTACGACCCAATTCAGTTAGCCGCCTTTCATCACGCTCTATAGAATCTTTATTGAAATCCTCTCCAGAGTTTCCATCCTGCAAAAATAAATGAAAGTATTCTTAGTGGATTACAAATCTGTAATGCCGAAAGATACCATTCTAGAAGTGTAATATATGTCCACAAGTTTAACTAGGCCTATTTTAAACTATATATAACTTAAATATTAAAAGCATTAATATCAGTAAGATAATACATCTACCAGCATGGCACAACAAAGTATGAACTCAACCGAAATTCCAAGAGCAAAAGGAAATAAATATTTCAGTTAATGGTGCAGAAAATGGTAAAATTAACAATATTAAGCATGAACAAAATTATAAATAAACTAACTACTACCTATTTGGACCTCAATTAGAATAAAGGGCTAGAAAATAAGTTTTTGCTGCTAAAATCAATTTTCTAAAAAAATAAATAAATTGTAAATATTTCTTTTCAGGCTGAAATTGTGTTTGCACCGATGTAGAAGAAATCCTGGGATTGATTCTTAGTAGCCTAGCTCCCTATTTCGGACAAAGTCAGTTTTAAAAGTAATTTGAGATAAATATCCCTATTAATATTAAACATGAACTAAATTATTTTATTATCATTTTGGCCTATTTGCATTTTTTCAAAAGAAAAATATTTTTTTAATTAAAATTTATATTGTAAAAAAATTGATAATTTAAGGGGAGGCAAAAAACTCAAAAAAAAAAAAAGTTATAGTCCTTTGGCATAAACTAAAAATATTAGCTTAAGAAAAGCTCTAAACAAAAACCACGACCATAAAATCACTTTTATAAGTTTAAACAAACAGGCCATTATTATTAGATCCCATTAAAAATTTAAAACTACAGTATTTTAATACACAATTATCAGTCATCGTAAATTGACACAAAGTGACATCCTGTAGCAAAATCCAAACAAAGACAATTCCAAAAAATAAATCAAAACAATATGAGCAAGTTTCAAAAAAAACAATTATTGCAAAATTTTTATTCTTCAATTTATGAATCTTCAAAGCAATTCCAAACAAGTTTAATCATTCAGAAACGATGGAATAAATACAAAACAGAAGCAGAAACAACAAACTACCCAAGCAGCAAATACATAATCCAAAGAACTCTTTTAGGTTATAAGTTCAGATGATCAGCTGATGCTGCAGCAATTGAATGAAAAATTTAATTTAATTGTCACTCAGAATACATTGGCCAAGTTTCAGTTTTCCTTTTCCCCTGATTTTCACTACCCAAACAGCAAATACATAAACTGAAGAACTCTTTAGATTATTAGTTCAGATAGATGGCTGATACAATAGCAATTGAGTGAAAAACTATATGTACTGTAATTCAGAACACAATTGCAGAGTTTTAGTTTTCTTTTTCCCTTGATTTGTCCCCAAAAAAAAAAAAGACTCTGCTTTGCTCTCTTTCAATAAACTTCATCCTCTAAAAACTCTCACCCTAATACCATCACTTTCAATGGGATCAATGCTCAACCATATCACCAGCTATCACGTGTCAAACAATTCTATGTCTTACCTTTGTACGGTTTTGAGGACACTTCTCATCTTTTGGAGGCAGTGGTTCTATAGCAGCCCTTTCAAGTAGCAGCAAAACATCATCCACCAGTACAAACATATCTTTCTCGACATGAACAATCGGTGCTGGTATTTCTTCGGCATCCAACAATTTCACCCTACCTTTATGGCTCTTAGTTTGGCCTTCAAGAGCCTTCAATCCACTAAACAAGGAATCCATTACCAAAGTAGAAGTGACTTCTTTCTCTATAAAGAAATGTTTTACAACTACTTTCAAAATTACATCTGTCTTCTCCCTAGACATGCGGCGCTTAGAAGTTTGGTCAATTTCCCGCCAGAAAGTAAAGAAGCTGCATGCAAATTAACATTTGATCAACCAATAAAATAAGACGCCACAACTTAGAAGTCTGGCATAAGTAACAATGAATGATAAAACATTATATCAAATAGGAGTTTACATTCCTATAAATATAAAACATCAAATAAGATTTAATTTCAAATAGGATGTAACATACATTTCAAGATACACATGAAATAGGCAGACTATCTGAAATTGGCCGTAATACATCAAACCATGGTCTCCAAATAGATTTGACTGTGGCACTCATTCCTATTCTGTAACTTGTTCCCAATATAGCTAACATTTTTATTCTCATTTCCAGATTGATGGGGCATTAATTCAAATTTTCAGTTCAAGTATTAAAGTATTACTATTGATCTGGAAGTGTGAAAAAGTAATTTGATGATCCAGACTTTCATTAGGTGACACTTTGGAGCAAGTTAGAAATTCCAGCATATATTATGTGACATAATAGATTACATGTCAGTCTCAAGATGAGACTTTAAAAGGAGAGTACAAGTACCTTGACCACCTAGCTTTGTCTTCTATCAACTTCCCAAGCTTGCTTCTTCTCTCCTCCACAAAACGACGACAAATTTGTTCTACATTTGTCAAATACACCCTGACAAGTTCTCTCCTATACTGACAATCAAGGCAACGAAAAGGCCTGTCTGATTTCTCCCTATGCATCAGAAACAAACAAAAAGAATATGTGGTCACAGTGTCACACAACAGAATTAAAAATTCCAAGGAAAAATGCAAAGAAATTATCAAGATCGCCACATTTGACAGCCACACAAATCTAAAATAGGAAAAGTTAAGGGTACAATTGGATGTATTTAAAGATTAGAAGATCACCGACAAACTTTGCAACCAACCAATGACAAATAGTCAGTGCACTTCTGTTCAATGTTTTCTTCCAGATGTGCAGAGCAATACAGGGCAGGTTATCGTGAAAGGAAGTACAATGTAAAAACTCTTTCCCCTTGTGCCCATTTGGATAAGCTTTTTCATTAAGTGTCTTCACAAGGGGAAGAAAACAATTTAGGGGAAAAAGAACTTTGGACATTTTTGAAACGTGAGATTATATTTTGAAAACCTAAGAAAACCATCCAAATGCATCTGTCTGCATAAATACTTATCCTTGCAAATATTATTTATAGCCTTTACAAATGTGGACTGATAATTAATTTACAGTCCGTACACTTATATTTATAACTACGATCCGGTAAGGGAATACAATTGCAGCAGCAGTGCGATTTGGGCAAATGATCAGAGGGGATGACAAGCTGATAAGTACACCCATTTTTTCAAGACCCCCTTTTTGTGGTGAATTTTTATTCCAATAATACCCTTGTAAAACAATCTGGAACTATGAAAAAATTGGCTTCCAGAATTTAATTTCCATAAGTCTTTTTTCATAATTCCAGTACTTAATTTTTGGAGAAGTCAATTTTTTACATTCTGGAAATAAGTTTCAGGAACACACTTTGAAGGACCAGAAATAAGCTTCGAGAAAACATCTTGAATTGACACAAAATTCCATGATTTGAAGACTATAGTAAAAAGAAAAAATAAATAAATGTAGACATGAATCAGGGGCTCATTGAGCCCTAAATTTAATGAAATTGCTCGTAACAGCAGATGGTGACTGAAAGGAAGGGGCCTGTCCCTGCAGTTGCCTGAACAGAGGCCACTGGAGTGGCATAAGGAAAAGGAGTATGTATGAAGATGATTATGAGAAAACAGGGGAAACTGGGCAACATGATGGAACAGGAAAGAGGACTAGTTTCTCACGTTTCTCTTTTGGAAATCTAGATTTCCGGAATTTATCAGGAACTAAATGGAATATCTACTATTTACTACTAAAAACAAGTTCTGGAAATTAGTTTCCACTTGATTCTTGGGTCCATCCTTATTTCTCCTAATCTAATTCCTAATTGAGATGGCCCATACTTATTTCTTCTGAAGTAAACATTCTTTATTGAGAATGATTGCTAACAAATTCAAAACAGACACCTTAGAATGTGACCAAATATGGTGCTCCAGAGTAAAAGTGACAAAGAACGCCTAAACCCTAATATAAATTCTGTTTAGTGAAGATAGTTTAAGCTAAAATCTTAGTACAAAAAAAATAATGGAAGATACAGATTGACAAAATGGAATCCAATATTTACAATCTCCGCAATTAATGCTACAGTGGTGACATGAACTTGTTTAAACCCAACTTCATCAAAATGTTATGCTTGCAATCATAAAAATATTATTTTCTTGCTGGCTTTCAATTTACTATGAAAACCATGGAGAAGGACAGCTGTACACAAGATGGCTTGTAAATATTTGAAATATTCTAAATAAAATGACATAAATTAGGTATAGAATACCTTATGACTTGAACTTGAGCTATTATTATCAGATTGTCAGAAGAGTCAACAAATCCATCATACACCTTAGACAGTTCCATAAACTTTTTCCATCCCCAGTCATGCTCCTTCTTCCAAAATCGATGCAATGTATCTGGAAAACTCAAGTACAAGTATCTCAATAATTCTGGTAGAAAAATTGTAATTTCCAGTAATTAAGCCAACTATTACTCCACGGACCAGAATATTTTGATTTCTTTGGGTCTTTATTAACCACAGCTATTGTAAATTGTGCAAAATGACTCCATCCTGTATTGCCCCAAAAACAAGAGTAAGCAAACCAAATATTAGGGAACTAATTGTAAAAAGTAAAACTAATAATCATAACACAATGTAGAAAATATCATGAACATAACCTGGAAGAAGTTTGTCATGATTAGCTACACACAGAAACAGTGATAGATGATTGCAGACATCACAACCTTGTGGATATATTAAGATATACCTGCCACAGACCAAAAAATGTAAAGTTGCAAACCATCTCAGCAAACCAGAAGTATTTATTAGACTGCATATATCAACACTAAATTAAGGGCATGAATTAGAAGCACTTTATAGTCCTTACATAGGACACAACTTTCAAAAGTGGAATAAACAACATATCTTTCTCTTGTATGACAAATTACTATATGGAGAAGTCACAAATTCATTCCAAGTACATGTCTCAAAACAGCAGATTAATGGCAAGGCCTCTCGACCCTTGTGTGTTTTTTTGCAAGGTCTTTTCTATTTTCTAACTCATTTGTTGAATTGAGCGACTTGCCATTTTGATAAACCTCTTAGGAAGCCCAAGGCCCAACTTAAGGAAGAGTTATTAAATTGGACAGCAGGGTTTTAATAGAATTAATACTGCAGGTTCACAGGTCGCATAAAGTTCTTTCCCCTAACATGTGTTTTGTCATGCTCCGTAACCTGCCATTAGTAAATGGCAGTGACACTGACATGGCTATTTTTAGTTCATACCTTTTGCGGAATCTTGGACTGTAAAAAGTTCTTGGACAAATTTTCAGTTAAGATCAACAATGATTTTAGTAGTAAAGGTACCAATTTCTTTTTCTAAGGTAATCTACAACCTATGCCACTATTTGGCTAGATCTAACATTTGTATTCTAAAGGATATCTTGTTGGCTCAGTAGCTGATATGAGAGGATAAGATTAGGAAATTGACTATAAAGCACATGGTCTTTTGAAAAGGATTTCCTAACAAAATATGTTGAGGATTGGGCAGTTTTGCTCCAAATTGATGGTTTCTCATTTCGTAAGCCGATTTATTTCCTCCAAAATCCTGAGACTTCTCTATTATGAATAATAGAATTTCTTCATATTATATATATACATATATATATATATGTGTATATAATATATATATATAGAGAGAGAGAGAGAGAGAGAAACTACACTAGTTATGATACATCGATGTTTCTTCAAAATTAAATATAAAACCACAGTCATAATTGACTCAAGATAATAAATGCATAACACCAAGCTCCTGCATGCGTATAGTTTTAGAGGTGTGGATCAAAATAAAGCAAAACAGCAAGGATTCTACAGCCTAACAAAAAGCTATGCAAGTCCAATAACATCTAAAGCCTCATACCATTTGTGGCCGCCAACCTCAAATGCACTACTGCGAAGTTCCCTTTTGGTAGTTTGAGAAAACTTTTCTATTTTCCATGTATATCTTCCATATAACTCCGAAGGTTTTGGTCCTGTGAAGAGAAAAACAAATAACACATCATGCTAGATTCAAGAATCAGCAGAAGCTAGGCTAAAAAATCAAGCATTCAGAAGATACAATAAGACAGTTGTCTAGGCACATGAGACAAGTTCCTGCT